ATTTCTGCAACTATGTCTTTGCTTTTTAAGCCAATAACTTACTCATCTAACACCTGTTTATTTAGGATTTAAATTTAGCAATCATTGGCTAAACTTTTTTAAGCTGCAATATTTTCACTGATCGTGTTAGTTTTGTTCTGTACTTGTTGGCAAAATTTAGATCGATGTACTAAATATGATGCTGGTGGCTTAATCTGATCTTTTACTTATTCAACTATTTTATCAAACGANGAATATTGTAAAATAACAACTTTACTGTAACGCTGTATTTTGAATTGAAAGAGAAAAATTGTAGTGTATGTAGCGAGTTTTGATAACGTAGATAACAGCACAACAGAGATAACGAATGATCGTCATGCGGAGTGCTCTCATTGTATACTCAAATTGACATAAACAGTCTATGATTAACAACGGTATAGATCACATATGACCCTTTCGATCAAGCCCAGCCGCCTTAGTGTCGCGTTGTTGGATACCATTAGATTACTTGTACACATCTGGGTAGTACTATTTTTCCTCGCATCTATAGTCTCGCATGAATGAAAGGTCTCGCAATACGTCTAGATTATTTATTTATCTTGGAACCAATCTTGCACAGTTAAAATAATTTTGCCCGCCCTCTAATGTTATAGTAAGCAAGCTTCTGTAAGTAATAAATCCAGCGACTTAGCCTCTAAAGTATGGATCATAAAAGATTAAAACCTACTTTTTTAATACGACAGACTGAATTTAATGTTTCATTCACATTCAAGGACTTCAGAGAAAACATCGCTAAAATTAAATTACAAACTTTTCACTGTGCTTCATTTGAAAATTTCGCCGCGTTTATAGTGAAATGATCTTTTACTCTTATCTGTAACAAGCATCATGATAGACTAGCAGTCCTGGAATTTTCTTTAATTCTTAATTTGTTTGAAACAAGCGGTATTTGACTGAAAATCCCCCATAGTAACTTACATATGGCGGTGCCACTGTGTATGGTCTAAGGTAAAATATATATAAATAAAAGAATAATTGAACGGTCAAACGAACTTACTTGTACGTAATTATTCGCGTATCGAATCTCTAAACATGCAAGTACGTGTGAATCACCAGCTTTCATGCTATTCAATTTAAAGTTACGAACATCTCTTCATGCTTTTTATCATCAAACTAAAAATGTTGCCATTTGTAAATAATACTTTCAAGAACATAATTAGAAAGAGAAAAGAGTAAAAAAGTTTACGATAGGGGAGAAAGTACTTGCGAGGGATTTTTGTAAGAATCGTGACGTAGTAAACGAAGCAAAAGTGGTAAAGGTGTTTTTTTCTTATAATTCTTAAGTACAATTCAAAGACAAACACAATATTAAAAAACGCCATTGTTATTAATTGAATTACTGGTGTAACAGTTGCCGTAGCGAGCCTGATCAATGTAGTCACGAAGATCAGCGGTCATGCAAAGATCATGAACACACCTAGAGACGATGAGGTCATGACAAAAAGACAATACAAAGATTTTAAGCTAAATTTTAAGTTTGTGAATATTGTAAAATAACACGAAGTTGCTTCATATGGTAATGAAGAACAGTTCTTCCGTTAAAAATAAAAGCTAAAGTTATTGAAAACTAACACGAAAACGATTTAGGATTTAAATTTAGCAATCATTGGCTAAACTTTTTTAAGCTGCAATATTTTCACTGATCGTGTTAGTTTTGTTCTGTACTTGTTGGCAAAATTTAGATCGATGTACTAAATATGATGCTGGTGGCTTAATCTGATCTTTTACTTATTCAACTATTTTATCAAACGACTACGTTGCTGGTTTGCCAGGCTTTAAAATCTTATCAATGATAATGTATGTTTGGGCATTCACTTTGCTTAAGAAAATTGCACGTTGCTTGATATAAAATAATGTTTTATTTGCTTCATAAGTTTTTCCCAATCGTCTTTTTGAATATCGACTTATAAATCTGCCGATACCTCCATCATGTTTTTAACTGCGTTGTGCTAGTGACTTTGGCTATCTATTTTTCCCTTGCTTTTTTACAAATAATTTTTTTTATGTTTTTTTTTTAATATAATTTAACACTTTTATTGTTCTAAGCACCTTTTTTTTTCTCGTAAGCTTTTACTTTCTTTTACTTTTCGTATTATCAATTAACCTCATCGCCATTAAAGTATCCGACAACGCGTAACTAAAATGGTTAGGCTTGATCGAAGAAGCCACATGTAAGCTCTAGCGTTGTTTATCATAGGCTTTTCATTTTCACATGAATACATGATAAAAGCGCTTTACATGACGTTCGTTTGTATTTTAATAGAAATATTAAC